AGTCACTACTTAGGTGGCTTAGTTACTGTCTGTCCTCACAACCTTAAATAACCAAAACTATATTATTGAAGCATGGAACTAGATCAAAGAATCCAGGCAAGTTGTGTTTGCATAATCTGCACTGAAAGAAAGCAGAATCGGCTGACTAAACTAAAATCCTTTGTCCTCATATGAATAATTTGATTTACGTTGCAAAGTGGTCCTTAATAGTGAATAATTACATCTAAAAATACAACTTTATGTTAAAGGATACATAATAAAACCACTCTGAAAGAAGAGGATGATGCACCATACATCAATTTTAAACCCTTGTAGACTGCATCTTTGTAAGAATTACTATAAATCCTGGGCTCAATGCTACAAAGTCTGTAAAAATAAAGATATTTTAATATGCAACTTTTCTAGTTTTCTAGAATCTGTGCTGAACGTTCATGTTGCTAATTAGAAGGCTCTATACAAGAGGGATGTATATTCACAGGATATCAGCTGAGTTGCTGTTCATACTTGAGACATACAGACACCTTTTTAAAATGTCCAAATGACAGAGCTGATGCACCAGAACAAGTAGTGACAGGCTGCCAAGTAAATTTATCTTTGGATACCTAACTGTAAATAGACTGCCAAGATTAAGCAAACAAATAGCTTATCAGAAAAGCCCATTAATTACCAAGAACTAACTATGAGATAAATCAGGCCAATGCTGAATTGTTAAAGAAGCTGGTTTACAGACATTTACTATTTGTAGTCTTTAGTTTAAAAACAAAATTATGTTGACTAGAGCTTTAACAGACTTGGGCCTGAAATGCCAATGGCAGACTTAGGTCCGAACACCCATTTGTTAACACATTATTAGTGTCACAGTTTCAGGCTAACTGCACCTGTATTACCCCTCTGTGGTCCGCTCCCAGGGTTGTCAGGTCTCCTGATGTCACCTGTCTCTGGACAGGGACCCTTGTCCCACTCCCTTCTGACTAGGAGTTTTAAAGCTGCACATCTCCCTGCCTTACATTGTGATATCCCCAGCAAGCCAGTCTGTCTAAAGGCCAGTGCCTGTGTTTTGCTTCCTGCCTGAGGGCTATAAACAGTATATGCTAGCAGTTACAAGTTACACACAGCACTTTCTAAGCAAGCACATTTATTCTTAAGGTAAAAACATTAGAGGAAACACACAAAAAAAACACTAAAAGTTTCTACACATATGCTAAAAGCTTGGCAGGAGTAACCCATCAGTCTTTAGGGTCTTAATAGACCATGGTCTTTCCAACCCCTCCACAAGGGTTAGGGGGGCCCTCCATTGGACAAAAGGTCCTGTCTGTCTGCTGGATCAGAAAGAAGGCCATGAGGTCAGTTCAAGACCATCCTTTTATACTAAAAGCCCTTTGTTTGTCTTCTAGTCTCTGGAAAACCTAGCCTGAACAGTACATGTATGCAAACCTACCCAAGAGGCAGGGCCGGCCCACAACATTTTGGCACCTGAGGTGGGGAGCTCAAATGATGCCCCCATGCCCACTCGCTTGGGCCAAAACTTTGAAAGGTCTCAATTCTGCCTTCTTCCTGTTCTACTCCTCTCATGGTACTGCTCTGCTACCTACCCCAATAAAGGAGAACTAACAACTTAAAATGCCTTGTTCAAAAATTTTAAGTAACACTTATCTTTCCAACGCCTGAACAGGAAATGTAACTTTTCTTGTCTGCATAGTAAACACTGGCATTTTTATCTGTTTGTGCTTTCCATGCCTTCTTGGTTGCAAAGATTTGAACTGCTTCCTGCTGAAGGTCCACAGTCTGGGCCAGCTCATGCTTTATTGAGATGGTTGCAAGGCCGACCAACTTCTCCTGTGTCATTGTGGAGTGTAGATGTGTTTTTATTAACTTCAGCTTGGAGAAGCTGCAGTCTCCACTGGCAACTGTTACAGAAAGTGTTAGAAGTATGCACAGAGCAATAAAAGCATTTGGAAAGAGGGTGATCATCTTATTTGTGAACATATATTCCAGAACAGCCTTTGGAGTTGATCCTGCTGGAATGTGTCTTGAAAGGGCTTTCAGTTCATCACCTAAATCACTCGCATCAATATCGCGCATGTCATCATGTGTCAACACTGTCTCTAGTGCCCTGCTGTCATAAATATAAAGGGAAGGGTAACTACCTTTCTGTTACAGTGCTATAAAATCCCTCCTGGCCAGAGGCAAAACTCTTTCACCTGTAAAGGGTTAAGAAGCTAAGGTAACCTCGCTGGCACTAAAGGTTTTGCCTAGAGGGATTCTCTATGTTTTGAATCTGATTACCCTGTAAGGTATTTACCATCCTGATTTTACAGAGGTGATTGTTTTACCTTTTCCTTAATTAAAATTCTTCTTTTAAGAACCTGATTGATTTTTCATTGTTCTTAAGATCCAAGAACTGTGTCTATGTTCGCCTGTACCAGTTGGTGAGGATTATTATCAAGCCTTCCCCAGGAAAGGGGGTGTAGGGTTTGGAGGTGATATTTTGGGGGAAGACGTCTCCAAGTCGTCTCTTTCCCTGTTCTTTGTTTAAAACGCTTGGTGGTGGCAGCATACTGTTCAAGGACAAGGCAAAGTTTGTACCTTGGGGAAGTTTTTAACCTAAGCTGGTAAGAATAAGCTTAGGTCCCCACATCTGTACCCTGGAGTTCAGAGTGGGGAAGGAACCCTGACACCTGCATTGCTGGTGTAGGCCTTCTTCAGGTATAGTGAGGAGTTTTGGAATATCATACAACATCCCAGATATACTGCTGTGTTCCTTGAGCTGCATGAAAGTTTCTTCAACTGACCGTATTGCACAATCTAGCACCTGATTCAAGAATTCAACTTTGAATTGTTGTTTGGGGTCTCTTATGGGATTATCCCGTGCCTCGTAATCAAAATGTCTTCTTCTTTGATGATTCTTGTGTTCTTGAATTGGTGGGAAAATACCTTCAGTGTGAAGTTCCTCCATCAACTTCTGTGCACTCTTCAGAATGTTTTGAAATCCCTCATCTGACCGGTAAGACTGTAGGTATGACTTTGCTTTGTCCAGTTGCTCCAGATATATCAAGGTCAACACCATGAAGTCTCTTGCTTACAACATTTATTTCAAACAGTACGTCATGCCACAACACTAAGCCACACAGAAATGTGAAGTTATGTATGTTTCTGGTGATTCCATTTCCCTCTGCCACTGTTCTCCCACGAACAGTTCCTGTCATAGCATTATCCTCCATAATGGCAACTATAGCATCATCTATCTTCTTAATTTGGTGTTTGATAGGCGTTATTGCCTCCACTCGACTTTCCCATCGTGTGGCACTCAGTAGTTTCAGTGAAAGAGAGGATGTTCCCAGATGTTGCTTCAAAACTTGCCATCCATGAGTTGATGCAGAGAAAAATACATAAATGCTTTGAATTACATTAAAAAATTCAGCAGCCTCACTAGAAGCTGATGCTGCATCACTGACAACCAAGTTCAATGAATGAGAACTGCATGGGACTAAAAAAGCTAGAGGGTTTAACTCTCAGATCCGTGTCTGCACTCCTCTGTTCTTTCCTCTCATGTTGGCACCATTATCGTAGGCCTGACCTCTCATGTCAGCGATTGCAATTCACGTATCTTCCAGCTTTTTAAGAAGCACATTTGTCATACCAGCTCCTGTAGTATCATAAATGTCAGTAAATTCTAGAAAATGCTCTCTGACAGTCACCATTGCAGGGACATTTTCACTAAGTTCTGTTGTTACAAAACACACCATTAAAGTCATTTGTTCCCTATGGCTGATGTCAGGTGAGCAGTCCAAAATAACAGAGTAATATCTTACTGACTTCAGATCTGCCACAATCTTCTGTTTGGCTTTTGTTGCCGGTAACTGTATGATCTCATTTTGAATTGTTTTTCCAAGGTAATGGTGTGTGTACATTTCTTGGGTGGTGATTCTTCTTAGATGCTACTGGAGTACAGCATCAAACTCAGCCATCAGCTCCACAATTTTAAGGAAGTTTCCATTGTTTGGCACATACAGCTGATCTGAAGTGCCACGCAGTGCTAGGTTTTGGATAGCAAGCATTCTCACAATGGCAATGAGCCTTTTCAGAACATTTTGCCAACAGAACCTAGTGAAAATGTCCCTGCAATGGTGACTGTCAGAGAGCAAGGGATGTTTCACCAACATAGATTCATAGATATTTAGGTCAGAAGGGACCATTATGATCATCCAGTCTGACCTCCTGCACAACGCAGGCCACAGAATTTCACCCACCACTCCTGTGAAAAACCTCTCACCTATGTCTGTGGGATCCCATCAACGTGGGATGGCCGGGAAAGGTTCATGACGCTCGCGTCTTCAGGAACTCTGGTCTGTTTAAACGGCTGCAGGAAGAGATTTACTTCCTAGACCAGAAAATAATTGTTGGGGATGTTGAAATGCCTATAGTTATTCTTGGGGACCCAGCCTACCCCTTAATGCCCTGGCTCATGAAGCCATACACAAGCACCCTGGACAGTAGTAAGGAGATGTTCAACTATAGGCTGAGCAAGTGCAGAATGGTGGTAGAACGTGCATTTGGACTTTTAAAGGGTCGCTGTCACAGTTTACTGACTTGCTCAGACCTCAGCAAAATCAATATCCCATTGTTATTGCTGCTTGCTGTGTGCTCCACAATCTCTGTGAGAGTAAGGGGGAGACGCTTATGGTGGGGTGGGAGGTTGAGGCAGATCGCCTGGCCGCTGAATATGCGCACCCAGACACCAGGGCTGTTAGAAGGGCACAGCAGGAAGCGGTGCGCATCTGAGAACCTTGGAAAACCAGTTTCATGACTGGCCAGGGTACTGTGTGACACTTGTTTGTTTCTCCTTGATGAAAACCCGCCCCCTTGGTTGCCTCTAAATTCCCTGTAAGCCAACCGCCCTCCCCCCTTTGATCACAGCTTGCTTGCAAAGGAAATAAAGTCGCTATTGTTTAAAAAACCATGTATTCTTTATTAATTGATTATTAAAATAGGGAGATAACTCACAAGGTAGCCCGGATGGGGTGTGGGAGGAGGGTAGGAGGGAAGGAAAAGGCCACTTCAAAACTTGTTGAATGGCAGCCTTCTGTTGCTTGGGCTGTCCACTGGGGTGGAGTGGTTGGGTGCCCGGAGCCTCCCCTCCCGCGTTCTTGGGCGTCTGGGTGAGGAGGCTATGGAACTTGGGGAGGAGGGAGGGCGGTTAAACAGGGGCTGCAGCAGCAGTCTGTGATTCTGCTGCCGTTCATGAACCTCCACCAGACGCCGGAGCATGTCCGTTTGATCCTGCAGTAGCCCCAGCGTTGCCTCATGCCTCCTCTGATCTTCCTGCCGCCACCTCTCCTCACGTTCATTGGCCACTTTCCTGTACTCTGCTATTGTGTCCTTCCACACATTCTGCTGAGCTCTGTCAGTGCCAGACGACTGCATGAGCTCAGAGAACATTTCATCGCACGTGCGTTTTTTTTTGCCGCCTCATATGAGATAGCCTTTGGGACGGAGGAGGGAGGCTTGAAACATTTGCAGCTGCTGGAGGAAAAAAAGGGAGCGAAGTATTTAAAAAGATACATTTTACAGAACAATGGCTATACTCTTTCACGGTGAACAACGCTATTCACATCACATAGCATATGTGATTTTGGTACAAGGTTGCATTTTGCATCTTATATTGAGTGCCTGCGGCTTTGGTATCAGAGATCACATACGCAGTGCCAGACAACAGAATTTGGCTTGCAGGTGGCCATGGTAAGCCATAGTCTTTTGGCTTCTGCAACCTTCATAACAGCAGCGCCCTCCTCTCCCATACCAAGCAAAGCACGTTGAGTTGGCCATTTAGTGCTGCAGTTTTCCCATTAACGTGCAGCAGCAGAAACCAAACTAACCCTCCCCCACTCCCATCCAATTCTCTGGGATGATTGCTTTACCCCTCACCCCACCGTGTGGCTGGTATCAGGGAAGATCCCTGCTAGCCAAACGCAAACAGCTCAGCGCCAATGCCGCCCCCCCTCCCGCCCCCGCATACCACATGGCTAACTGTGGCGAGCATTTCTTTTCAGCCACAGGCAAACAGCCCAGTAGGAACGGCCACCTCTGAATGTCCCCTTAATTAAATTCCCCTATTTCAACCATGTTACAATGAATGATATCACTCTCCTGAGGGAAAAGGAGTACTTGTGGCACCTTAGAGACTAACCAATTTATTTGAGCATGAGCTTTCGTGAGCTATAGCTCACTTCATCGGATGCATGCCGTGGAAACTGCAGCAGACTTTATTTATACACAGAGAATATGAAAAAATACCTCCTCCCACCCCACTGTCCTGCTGGTAATAGCTTATCTAAAGTGATCATCAGGTGGGCCATTTCCAGCACAAATCCAGGTTTTCTCACCCCCTCACCCCCCTCCCAATTGAATGGTCACTTTGGATGAGCTATTACCAGCAGGATAGTGAGTTTGTGTGTGTGGTTTTTGGGAGGGGGGTGAGGGGGTGAGAGAACCTGGATTTGTGCAGGAAATGGCCCAACTTTATTATCATGCACATTGTGTAAAGAGTTGTCACTTTGGATGGGCTATCACCAGCAGGAGAGTGAATTTGTGTGGGGGGGTGGAGGGTGAGAAAACCTGGATTTGTGCTGGAAATGGCCCACCTGATGATCACTTTAGATAAGCTATTACCAGCAGGACAGTGGGGTGGGAGGAGGTATTTTTTCATATTCTCTGTGTATAAATAAAGTCTGCTGCAGTTTCCACGGCATGCATCCGATGAAGTGAGCTATAGCTCACGAAAGCTCATGCTCAAATAAATTGGTTAGTCTCTAAGGTGCCACAAGTACTCCTTTTCTTTTTGCGAATACAGACTAACACGGCTGTTACTCTGAAAACTCTCCTGAGGATAACACAGAGAGATAAAGAACGGATGTTGCTTGAATGCCAGCAAACACTGGGACCATACGCTGCCAGGCTTTGTCATGCAATGATACCAGATTACTTGCTACTAGCATGGCTTGGTAAAGCGTCCTACCATGGAGGATGGAATAAGGCTGCTTTCCCCAGAAACCTTCTGCAAAGGCTTTTAGAGGACCTCCAGGAGAGCTTCATGGAGATGTCCCTGGAGGATTTCCGCTCCATCCCCAGACACGTTAACAGACTTTTCCAGTAGCTGTACTGGCCACAAATGCATCCCAAGTCCTCAGGGCTACTTAATCATTAAAAAACGCTTGCTTTTATAACATGTATTCTATTTAAAAAGGTACACTCACCAGAGGTACCTTCTCTTGCTTTGTTGGGTTGGGAGGGTACTTCAGTCAGGGTGATAAAAAGTTCCTGGCTGTCGGGGAGAATGGTGTGCTGTGTGCTCTCCTCAAGCTCGTCCTCCTCCTCCTCATCTTCCCCGTCCGCAAACTCCTCAGGCATGGCAGAGAGTACCCCATCATCGGAGTCCACAGACAGGGGTGGGGTAGTGGTGGCAGAATTACATGCAGCTCAGCGTAGAAGTGGCATGTCTGGGGCTCTGTCCCGGAGCGCCCGTTTGATTCTTTGGTTTTCTGGTACGCTTGTCTGAGCTCCTTAAGTTTCATGCGGCACTGTGTTGCGTCCCTGATGTAGCCTCTGTCCCTCATGGCCTTGGAGATTTTTTGAAATGTTTTGGCATTTTGTCTTTTGGAACGTAGTTCTGATAGCACAGATTCCTCTTCCCATACAGCGATCAGATCCAGTACCTCCCATTCGGTCCATGCTGGAGCTCTTTTTCGATTCTGGGACTGCATGGTCACCTGTGCCGATGTGCTCGCCTGGCCAAACAGGAAATGAGATTCAAAAGTTCCCAGGACTTTTCCTGTACACCTGGCCAGTGCATCCGAGTTCAGAGTGCTGTCCAGAGTGGTCACAATGGTGCACTGAGGGATAGCTCCCGGAGGACAATACCTTCGAAATGCGTCCACACTAACCCTAATTCGAAATGGCTATGTCGATTTCAGCACTAATCCCCTCGTTGTGGAGGAGTACAGAAATCGGTTTTAAGAGCCCTTTGTGTCGAAAAAAATGGCTTCACTGTGTGGACGGGTGCAGGGTTAATTTGATTTAACTCTGCTAAATCTGACATAAACTCCTAGTGTAGACCAGGCCTGAGAGTGATAGCAATTTTCAAATACATAAAAGGCTGTTATAAGAAGAGTGATAAATTGTTCTCTGTAACTGCTAAGGACAGGATAAGAAGTAATGGGCTTACATTGCAGCAAGGGAGATTTAGGTTAGACATTAAAAGTTTCCTAACTGTCAGGGTAGTTAAACATTGGAACACATTACGTAGGAAGGTTGTGGAATCTCTGTCATTGGAGGTTTTTAAGAACAGTTTAAACAAACACTTGTCAGGGATGGTCTAGATAATACTTAGCCTAGTGGTTCTCAAACTTTTGTACTGGTGACCCCTTTCACACAGCAAACCTCTGAATGCCACCCTCCTCCATAAATTAAAAACACTTTTTTTTTAATAGTTAATGCTATTATAAATGCTGGAGGTGAAGCTGTGTTTGGGGTGGAGGCTAACAGCTTGTGACTCCCCATTTAATAACCTGGTGACCCCCTGAGGGTCACGACTCCATTTGAGAACCCCTGCCTTAGCCCTACCTCCAGTGCAGGGGACTGGACTAGATGACCTAACAAGGTCCCTTCCAGTCCAACATTTCTATGATTCTATAAATCATTCATAACTGTAATACAGTATAGCCTGCAAAGATATTGCATATGATTGCAATATCTGTTACAATTAGATGTTAATAACACTAAGATTAAATATGCACACTGAAATTACCAATATATAATAAAACACACTAATACATGTGCTTTCTGAGGGAGAAAATATTTAGGCTGTACAGTTGTACTTTTCCTTTCTCACAGAATATTGAGAATACAAAATTGAAGGAAATAATTTTAACATAGTCAAAAGTTGGCTCCCACACACAGCTTGCAATCTTCAGTAATCAGTGGATTCTAGTGAACTAATCAGGTCAAATTCAGTGTTGATGACTCTTGTGATCTTATTTCGAGTATCATGATACTTGGTGTTTTTCTTAAAGCTCCATCTGTTAAAATTAAGTGATTAAGTCAGAATCTCAGCTTTCAGTTTTTAAAATGTAAGTTCCTAACCCTCATGGTAAGAGGAAAAAACCTCATAAATGTGTATCATCAAGGCTCAGAAACCAGAAGGCAAATAAAAAGAACCAATCATTCTTATTTTTAAGAAATAAGAATTTTTGAGTCCACCTCATTTTTTAGAGTGGGACCAGAGTTATGATTTTTGAACACTTGGGGTTGGCAACATTGGAAATTTTATCTTAGTTTAGTTTTTATTTTAAAAAATAATCATTGCCTTGCAATGTTAGCAACCTAAACCCTGCAGCATCCTGCTAGAGTAAAACTGACTGCAAATTAGCTACTTATGCATGTCAGTCAGCTTGGACAAAAAAAATAAACTGAACAGCATAAATGAATAAAAGTGAACTGTTAAAAATCTATTTCAACTTTCATCTGTGAACTTATTAGTAACATAAGTAAGGAGATTTAGTTTTCAAGATACACAGTTTTTAACCTAAGAATGTCCCCTTCAGTAGAATAAAGATCCATCATATTTTGTTAAATGGTCACTTCACAAATGGAGGTACTATGTAAATTTAGAATGCTGGATGTCGACATGAGCCTGCAAGGCCTTGTCTTCAATGCCAAACTCTAGCCATAACTCACCATTGGTACAACTTCACTGGTGGTAGCAATGAAGAAAGCTGCAATGTAGATAGAATTCAGACATTTTTACTGTGTCATTGATTGAACTGCATCACCAATGAATTAGAACAAGAGTGGGTGTTAACATAGGTGTAACATGACAGACATAATTATTTTCTCTATGCTAGATCAGGAAATTATTTTTCCTACAATCATCAAGATTAATTCCATTTTAGATCATATAATTTAAAAATTACCTTCAAAATCACACTTCTTCTGTTTGAATTTTTTTGTCTACTAGTGTTGTAAGTATTGTCTAAGATTATTATAACTGAATGAGACTACAAAAAATATTTCTACTTTTTTAGTTTGGGCATTTATTCTTTACATATATGAAATAAGAGGTGGTTATCTGCAAATTTAGGTGTCTCTAACATGCTTAAAATACAATAATTAAAAATAACATCATATTTTTAATACTAAATATCCAGGAAGTTTAAAAATAAATTCCCTATTTTTCTCTAAACATTGCCCCAACCAATATTCACTTCCTCAGCAGCTCTCCTAAGATGATGTATCTTGCAGCACTCCCTGAAGTTCTGAGCTATTTTGGACCTCTTTCTGTATAGTCATTATCATGATTTCACTATAGTCTCTTTCCTCCTGGTTTTTGGTGTGTGTATTTCACGGAGCAAGAGGGGAGATGGGGGGGGTGGGGGGGAAGGAATGTGGTGTTGGTAGCACAACAAACATTGGCAGTAGGACTTAGAGGCAGCTGTATTACCTCAAACTTCTTTGAACTTCTATTTTTTAACTGGCTTGATTTCAAGTTCAGTGTCTCTTTTTTAAAATTCCACTTCTACCACTGAGACTAGTATGTGCATTCTTAAGTGTGCTAGGCACAGAAAGGGGAAAAACACTGTTCTTATAAAACATCAATTATACCAGTCAGGTCAGTTAAAGGAAAAAGCATGATGAACCTCTCTGTGTATGTGCAGCTAACCATTCCTTTAGCCTTACTCATCCCACTTCCTGGTTCTCCTTTCCCTCAGGGTCTTCCCACTTCTATAAACACAATAACAATAATTAGGATAATCATTGGACACTTCAACATTCTTGGGATCAGAACATCACTCATAGCTAGTACAGGATCTTTGCCAAAAACCCTAAATTAGTTTTCAAGAAGAAGTGGGTCAGCATGACACACGTTTTTGGAAGTCTGCAGTCTCAAATCTTGCTACACCCAGCTTAAAAAAAAAAAAGTATATTTTCAGCATCAACAAAACCTCAAAAACCACTTAAATGCTAAGGGCTTGTCTACACTTACCGGAGGATCGATGCATCAGCGGTCAATTTAGCAGGTCTAGTGAAGACCCGCTAAATAGACCGCCGATTGCTCTCCTGTCAACTCCTGTAGTCCACCTGATCAAGAAGAGTAAGGGGAGTAGATGGGAGAGCATCTCCTGTCGACATCGTGTAGTGTGGACCCCGCGGTAAGTAGATCTAAACTACGTCGATTTGAGTTACGCTCTTCACGTAACTCAAATTGCATAGCTTAGATCGACTTTTCCCTTTAGCGTAGACAAAGCCTTAGGCTCAGATCCACAAAGGTATTTAGGTTTCTAACTTCTGCTGAAATCAATGGAGGTTAGGCACTTAAATACCTTTAGGGATCTGAGCCTTCAATCCTTTCAATTACCAATTCTCCCTCGTGATTACCTTGAAACTGTCAGTGCTTCAACTGATCTCTCTTGAGCTCACAGAAGGGCATATCTTGTATTCAGGAGCTACTGTGCAGAATAAGCCATGTAAGAATGCTAAAGGATAATTATACTAACCTTCTGGAAATCTAGTAATTCACCTATTCTTTCCCAGATAGGTGCTGGAATTTACCAGTTTTTACATAAATGACATTTACCCTGAGTTTTCTTGAGAATAGCAGTTGATAAAATTGGTCCATATCTATCAATTCTTATATTTTTGCATTTACTACCTTTCCTCTCTTTTGGTCATTCTCACCACGTAGAAACAACGAATCGTTATTTTCAAAAGGATTCATGTAACTTTGTCTTCCAGAAACTTAGGTTAGAAGCCTGCCAGTGTTTTGGAACATCATCTGATTCAGTAGCTTGTAAACAAGGATGCAGTGGATGGTCTCTGATTTATGTTACCTGGAGTCTGTCGTGATGGGCACACTTTTAATTAATAGACTAGATAGAAAAGCATAGTCTAGTTTGTGATAGAAAGTCTGAAGTATGCTTATCAAGAACATGTAACTTGCAAATTTCTATCCTAGACCTTTTGAAAGAGAGCTTCAGTGGTGTCATTTGGTACAATAATTCCCAATATTTTCAGTTCTGTGACCCTCTTTTGACAAACGTAACCTTTCAATGACCCTCTGATAGTACAAACTGTATTGGAACTCATCCATTATGTCAGCCGTTCTCAAACTGTGGGTTGGGGTCACAAGGGCTGATGTTAGACTTGCTGGGGCCCAGGGCTGAAACCTGAGCCCTCGACAGCGAGGCTCAGGCTTTGGCTTCAGTCCTGGGCAGTGGGGCTCACGTTACAGCCCGCCCCCCCACCCAAGGCTGAAGCCTTTGGGCTTTGGCCTCCCCGCCCAGGGTCATGTACCCTCCTTGGGTCATGTAGTAATTTTTGTTGTCAGAAGGGGGTCTCGGTGCAATGAAGTTTGAGAACCCCTGCATTATGTCATTGGAGACAGATTGCTGACGCAGACAGTGGTGGGAAAGGGATGTGCATAGGAAAAAAAGGAGAGTAATATACTTTAAGCTACTAGTTTCTCTGGACTCTTTTCTTCTTTCTTCTCTCACTTTCCTTTTCCTGTTCCTCATCCTCACTCCACATGATCTCTCTGCACTTAGGACAGCAGGAACTAAGAGAACCTGACTGCACATGATCATTCCTCCACTTTGGAAACTGTGGCCATTACTATTTCTCACCCCCCCCCCGCACACACTCCAGTCCATTTTAAAACTAGACTCAGGATTAAATAAAATTATTTTTCTTACATATTACAAACTTACTTGCTTGTGCTAGGTGGGTTGCTTCAAAGTGACTCACAAATGCATCATGACCCACCAGTTGGGAACAACTGTTCTAAGATAGCATTATAGCTTGATTTTTCTGCTTTCACAAAATGTATAAGCCAGTGCACTCTAGTCAGGTTTTATCCCACTCCCCCATATATTTCTCTCATGACAAGGCTTTTTATTCACATTCGCTAGATATTTAATTTCTGTGCCTGTTTCGACATTTTAGTCAGCCTTGCACACTAGGCCAGATGATGCAGACTGAAAACTTTTGCTTACAGATCTATTCCAATGAGCTCCTAAAAATGTCTTTCTATTATTGTGCAAAGTGTATGCTTCATCTGGTGAACCTGCAAAAATACTTGTTCTGAAATGTAAATTGGGAGCCCGGTAAAGAACTGCCTATGGCATATATGCTTTTATGAATTTCCATGTATTGTGACAGCAACAAACTGCAGGAAAGGAGATTTGAAGTAAATATGTCTCAAGTATTACTACCTATTTCCAAAACAAAATTTGACAAACTGAAATAAGTAATGCAACGTAATCCACCCTTCCGACAGTGAGTAATTCTAATTTGATGGCCAACAGAAAAGCAGCCTAGGTATCTCCAAATGTGAAAATATAATAGGCCAATAAGGATTAAGTTGCTGCATATAGTGGGATTCTGTACAAAGCACATATCATCGTGCTGCACACCGAGAGGTTTGTAATGCTTAGCATAAGACACAGTGCCCATCTGGGTATTAAATGTGTAAACACAGAGCCCAGGATGTCCTATTCAGACCAGGCATAAATGCTGTAATTGAAAATAAAGCATCCATGTGGAAATCTAAAATAAATATAAGAAGCAGAATGCAAAAGAATCATTGGAACCATGTGAGATTCCTGTTTTGCCCTTTGTCTAAAGTTGGCACAGGTATATTGTTACTTAAAAAAATGTATTAATGGATTACCCAGTATTATAAAAATAGAACTGTTGCGCTATACATGAGTAACACTATAGCAACATTGTAAATTGTAGCTTGCTCGCTATTAGATTCCACAAAGTTAATAACTGACGATGGCCCATAAATCATAAGTTCCTCACTTTGGCAATTCTTTCAACATATGGGCAAACAGGTTTTCAGAAAAGTCAGATCAAATAGTGAAGAGCTTGATAGAAACCCTCCAGGTAGATTCCAGAGATCCATACTTAGTATTGTTAAAGTATCTCAATATACTCACAATGCTTTTGGATTAAAATCACCACTTCAGCAACCTGTGGACAGAAGGATAAAAATTTTAGTGCCCGTATCTAATAAACTTCTTGAGGCAAAGACAATTAACTCTACAATAGTTACAAAAGAGGTATGCAGCAGGAAACTGGAACACAAGGAACACTACAGGAAGAACAGTATACAGTTTCAAAGGGGAGATATTAGACTCCAAACAAACTAGCTGGCAATTTACCAATGTAACAGCTATACCACCCACATTAAGGTCATACATCATAACTATCCCAAGGGTCAATCCTGCAGGAGGAATTGAAGATGTCTAAAGAGAACAAAGGAAAATACTGGCGCTCTCTCTTTCTTGAAGATGGCCACAATGCTACTCCTGACATCACTTGTGCAAAAACAGAATCGACCTACTCCTACTCATTGAATGATGATGAAAACATGAGGAGTAGTAAACACCGGATGCAAGTAGTGGATCCACCTCTGCAGCTGAACAGGCCTTGCAAAATTCCTTCTTTTGCAAGAAGAAGTGGCTATGTAATCAGAAAATCATTAAGGTTAAAAGATAATAGCTGTTGACAGATGTCCAATAGGAGGCAAAATAATCCCTTCTATTGTCAGGGCATTTATGTTGTCTATTCATTGGTTGAAATGCTCATTTAAAATTAGAATTTTAAGAAATGGGAGGTAGGGTGTAACTAGCATGGCTTGTACAAAAGAAAATTTTCTCACTGATCTATTATTCTGTTGGAATTCTTTGTGTCAATAAACTAGAGGATAAATAATTACTGGCTGGTAATTTATTTAGCCTTTCAAAAGGCCTTTGACAAGATGCCTCACCAAGAGACTACTTCAGAAGCTAAGTAATCATGGGGTGAGAGGCAAACTTCTGTCATCAGTCAAAATCTGGCTAGGAGACAGAAAACAAAGAGTAGGACTAAATATATGCATTATAGTTGTAGCTGTTTCCTGCCCCCCCACCCCAAGCTTCTCTCTCTCCAACAGAAATTGGTGCAATAAAAGATATTACCTCACCCACCCTATAAGATTAAATGATCATTTTCATCATTGCAGAAGCTGAACAGTGGATTGACTCACATGCTAGTACTATGTTCTGTGTTTAATTTGTTTAGGAGAACCTCAGGAATGGAGGTTGTTTGTAGCTCTGAACAAAACATTAGGGTTGTTCTTTCAAAAGCTTACAACTGAACATTGACTTAAAACAGCTTTGAAATTTTACTATGCAGAAGAAAAATGCTGCTTTTAACCATCTGAATTTAAATGAAAGAAGCACAGAAACTGTTTTCTTGTCTTGTCAAATCTGTTTTAAAAACTTTCCCTTTTATTTTTTTAGTAGTTTATGTTTAACATGGTGCTGTACTGTACTTTTTTTGGGGCGGTGGGGGTGGTCTCTGCTGCTACCTTATTGTGTACGTCCAGTTCCAAATGAGGGGTGTGGTTGACCAGTCAGTTTGGAATTCTGGTGTTCATAACTCTGAGGTTCTACTGTATGTGGGGAAAAAGGGGGTTGAGTGAGTAGTGAGGTGGCAAAAGTTGCTGATGACCCAAAGTTATTTAAGTTAGTCAAAACCAGCAGGGACTGTGAAGAACTTCAGGAAGGCCTAAGAAAGCTAGTTGAATGGACAACATGATGACAAATGACATTGAATGTCAATAACTGCAAGGTTTCAGAGTAGCAGTCGTGTTAGTCTGAATCCGCAAAAAGAAAAGGAGGACTTGTGGCACCTTAGAGACTAACAAATTTATTTGAGCATTATTAATATTTATGCTCAAATAAATTTTAGTCTCTAAGGTGCCACAAGTACTCCTTTTCTAATAACTGCAAGGGACTGCATTTTGGAGGAAACAATGTAAACTACTTAATTAATTTAGAACCTCATAAAGTGTGTATCAGCTCAGGAAGCGGACTTGGGCATCATTATAGACATCTTGGGAAAAAGGCTCAATATGCAGCTGCATTCAGAAAAGCAAATAAGATGTTAGGATACAAAAGGAATGAGAATAATACAGAAGATATTATAATGCCTTTATAGTGTGGCTTCACCTGGAATACTGTGTGCGTTGCTGCTCACTCTATATCAAAAAGGATATGAGAAGAATGAGCCCAAGGGCAATTGGTCTTGTAACAAGAAGGATGACAAGACTGATTAGGGAGCAAGGTGGTTTTAGGTAATATCTTTTACTGGACCAACTTCTGTTGGTGAGAAAGACAAGCCTTTTGAGAAGTTGGTCCAATAAAATATATTACCTCACCTACTTTGTCTCTCTCTAATATCCTGAAACTGACACAGCTACAACACCACTACATACAAGAATGATTAGGAACAGGGAAAAACTCTTATGTGAAGACAGATTGAAAAGACTGAAATTATTTACCTTAGAAAGGAGTTGAATAAGAGGGGAGATAGTAAAAGTATATAAAATAATGAATGGAGTAGAAAAGGCAGAGCAGGAACTTCTGCTCTCCCTGTTTCATAGTACAGGAACAAAGGGACCAGCATTAAAAGGTTGCAAATTCAAAACAAATAAAAGGAAATACTTTTGCACACAACATGTAATTAGACCATGGAACTCATTGCCACAGGAAGTTGTTGAGGTCAAGACCTCAGGAAGATTAAAAAACAGACTGGATAGTTGTATGGATAACATAAATATCCAGAATTAAAAGTTACTGCTAACAAAAAAATTAGAACATAAGAATGGCCATACTGGGTCAGAGCAATGGTCCATAGAGCCCAGTATTCTGTCGACCAACAGTGGCCAATGCCAGGTGCTTCAGAGGGAATGAACAGAACAGGTAATGATCAAGTGATCCATCCTGTTGGGCCATTCCCAGCTTCTGGCAAACAGGGGCTAAGGACACTTCAGAGCATGGTTTTGAATCCCTGCTCATCATGGCTAACGGTTATTGATGGACTTATTCTCCCTGAACTATCTAGTTCTTTTTTTGAAGCCAGTTATAGTCTTGGCCTTCACAACATCCTCTGGCAAAGAGTTCCACATTTTGACTGTGCGTTGTGTGAAGAAATACTTTCCTTTGTTTGTTTTAAACCTGCTGCCTATTAATTTAGAATGCTAAATCATTAAACTTTCAAGGTTTAAGCCAGTTTCTGACTGTATTGGCAATCAGGATAAGACCTAATGTGGGGGTCCCTGCGCTGGCAGGGTGTTCTCACATTTGCCTCTGACACATCCAGTATTGGCCACTGTCTGAGACAAGACAATGGATTATCTGGATCTCAGATCTAATCCAGTATGGCCATTCATTTTTTTACCTCTGTCTTAGATGTTTCTATTTGTGTGTGTTTATTGGAGTTGCAGCAGGGTTTGTTTGTTTTTTTTAAACTGGTATTTTATGCTTTATTGCCATTTGATCAAAAAAAAAACAAAACAAAACTGTAGCTTCTAGGGATCATATATACAGACTCTCTCACACATGTCAGAGGTACAACATTTTATAATTCTGACGCATGTCACGTGACAAGATACAGGAAATAATAATTAGTCTCTTACAAACATTCCTGAGTGCAATACCTTTATTACACCACTGTCACCCAGAACTATGGAATGAAGATTATCTCCTCTTTTAATTTCCTGTTTTCATTCTTGTCTTGAGCCTCTGCCACCTTAAAATCTTGCTATCTATAATAGTTATTTAAAATTTGTTTCAGGTACTATGCCTGCAGTTGAGCTGCCCCTCCAATATTTATGGTTTTAAATTTTTTCTGATTCTTAAATGTTTTCTAAGTAGCTGTGTGAGAGACTTGCACAGGTAGTTGACTAACTACTTGACTATATAGGGGCAACAATGAATCTAACTATTCAAAGCACTGTCAAAACCACAAAGTAAACAAATGGGGGAAATAGGAACATTTTCCCCCTCCCCCTTTAATCCAGCAGTTCTCATACTTTCTCATAGTATAGACGATTTGCTATAAGAAAGATTGTATGCAGTGTTGTTGTAGCCATGTTGGTCCCAGGATATTAAAAAGAGAAGGTGGTGACATAATGTCATTTATTGGTAGGGCCCTACCAAATTCACGGTCCATTTTGGTCAATGTCACGGTCATAGGATTTTAAAAATTGTAAATTTCATGATTTCAGCTATTTAAATCTGAAATTTCACAGTGTTGTAATTGTAGGGGTCCTGACTCAAAAAGGAGAGTTTTTGTGGGGGGGAGAGGGTTCGCAAGGTTATTGTAGAGGGGGTTGCGGTACTGCTACCCTCTCTGCTGCTGCTGGCGGCAGTGCTGGCTTCAGAGCTGGGCAGCTGGAGAGCGGCGGTGGCTGGCTGGGAGCCCAGCTCTGAAGGCAGCACCCTGCTAGCAGCAATGCAGAAGTAAGGATGGCCTGGGTATGGTATTGCCACCCTTACTTTTGTGCTGCTGCTAGCAGGGCACTGCCTTCACAGCTGGGCACCTGGCCAACAGCCACTGCTCTCTGGCGGCCCAGCTCTGAAGTCAGAACAGAAGTGAGGGTGGCAATACTGCGACTCCCCTAAAATAACCTTGTGACTCCCCCCTGCAACTCCATTTTGGGTCAGATCCCCCAATTTGAGAAATGCTGGTCTCCCCCGTGAAATCTGGTCTTTTGTGTACTTTTAACCTACACTATCCAGATTTCATGGTCCATGATGGGTACATGCAAATATATGCTGTTCATGGCCATAAATTTGGTAGGGCTCTATTTATTGGATTAACTTCTATTGGTGAGAGAGGCAAGCTTTTGAGTTCCACAGAGCTCTTCTTCCGGTCTGGGAAAGGTACTCAGAGTGTCATAGCTAAATACAACCTTGAGCATATAGAATATGTGCTAACTACTTATGCGAGTGGTTCTCAGCCCATGGCCCACGGGCCACTTGCGGCCCAATCAGCACACAGCTATGGCCCATTGACATCCTCAGGGCCATACAGATCGTTTATATATATAAACTATAACATCTATATCTATAGTGTGTGGATGAGGCCCACATTGTTGTAATAAACCATAATCCAGTACAAGACCATGATTTTTAGTGTCAGCC